CTACTACTACTACTACTACTACTACTACGACTACGACTACGACTACGACTACGACTACGACTACTACTACTACTACTACTACTACTACTACAGCTACTACTTCTACTACCGACTACCACGTGTTGTCCCCTAGTCACCAGTCGCAACAAGGACCATCGTGTCATGGTGTCGATGTGTCTCGGTTTCGGATTGGGCGTGGCTTGTGGGGCGGGGTGTTCCAAGGCCTAGTTGTGTATTTCATGCGAGGGCATCCCTGCGATGCGTTGCGACTTGTTTCGGGTATGGTAATCGTCCACGTATAGTTCTTTGTCAGTGAAGAGCTGTTGGCGAGGTGCACTGCTGTAGTTCCAGTCGTAGAGTTTGGGATATGGTTTAGCGAGCGTATAGTTCTCACCATCCCTCAATGTGGGGCGATTGGTCTTAAGATCTTGAGAGCAACGAATGACGCCCAACGCCAGCGCCACCTCCTGCGGCTGGGGCAGCACGGAGCCGCCGTCGTCGCTCTTCCTCTTCCTTTGGTGCCGCACCTGCTGGGTGGTCCTCACCTTGCGCGCCCGCTCGATGAGGGCCTGGACCTGCGGTTCCTTGGTGCCGATCCGCTTCTTGAGCTCCTCGAGCCCATAATTCACGGCGTTGGGCTCGTGCTGATCCCCATCCTCGAAATCTAGAACAGGTTCGCGTCCCACGTTGCAGTGAACCATGGTGCTGGACCAGCAGCCTCTCGTGACGGAGCGGCTGGTCTGCTCACGCCCTCTGCATTGGCCAGCGCCCCTGCAGCCCTCTTGTTCACGGCCTCAGTCTTGGCGACCTGGATGGCCGCCTCGAGGCTCTGGCGCAGTTTGATCACAGTGCTGACCAACTGAGAATGACGTTTGAGCGAGATGGCGAAAGGGCGGGAGGGCAGGAGGGAGGGCGGAGGGTGAAGGGTGGAGGCGAGCGGAGGTCGGGGTGCGCAGGAGGGATGAGGAGGTGCAGGGAGGGAGGGAGGTGTTCAGGGGGGGAGGGGCAGAGGAGGGACCTCAAAGAGGGAGGGAGCCAACCTGCCTCTCCGCGTTCCGGTCGTCCCCATCTGAGGGGGGGTTGGGCGGGAAACGGGTGCAGAGGAGGTAGAGGCCTCCCATATGGGGGGTCGCGCTCCGCATCGAGTCGCATCGCCAATACATCGGCGATGCGGCGCGATCCTCCGACTCCATCTAATACGACCCCATCTGGGAGGCCTAGAGGAGAAGGAGAAGGCGAAAGATAGGCGGCTGCTGCTGAGTCACCCCCGCGCGGAGGAGCAGGAGCCCGACCCCTCGGGCGCCTGGGTAGTCGCTCGAATTTTTGGCGATCCCTACGGTCCTGCGCCCCGGCGGGGGGGGAAGCCTCCTCATCCTCCTCCTCCTCCTCCTCCTCCGCCTCCTCCTCCTCCTCATCATCATCAGCATCACGATCGCCATCTTCATTATCATCATATCCTCATCCTCCTCATAATGATCACCATCATCTTTATCAGCATCATCTACATCAGCATCGACACCATCATCATCACCATCATGATCATCAGCATCATAATCAGCAGCAGCACCATCATCACAAGCACCATCACATTCGCCATCACCATCATCATTATCAGCATAATCCGCAACATCATCATGATCATCATCATCAGCAGCATCAGCATCATCATCGCCACCATCAACATCATCATCACCATCATCACCATCATCACATGAACATCAGCATCATCATCATCAGCATCAGCATCGTCAGCACCATCATCAGCAGCATCATCAGCAGCATCATCATCATACTCATAATCATCATCATCAGCATCATCATCAACATCCGCATCATCATCATCATCATCATGATCATCATCATCATCATCATCATCAGCATCGTCACCATCGTCATCATCAACATCATTGTCAGTGTCAGCAGCAGTATTATCATCACCACCATCATCATCATCCTCATCATCAGCATCATCGTCATCATCAGCATCACCAGCATCGTCAGTATCATCAATCATCAGCAGCATCATTATCATCTGCATCAACATCAATATCATCAGCAGCATAATTATCATAATCCCCACCACCACCACGACCATCGTGACCATCGTTATCATCTGCGTCAGCACCATCATCAGCAGCATCATCAGCATTAGCATGAGCAGCATCATCATCATCAGCATCATCGTCATCGTCAAAGCACCAGCAGCAGCATGCTCATCACCCTCATCAGCAGCAGCAGCATGCTCATCATCTTCATCAGCAGCAGCAGTACCACCAGCATCATCATCATCAGCAGCAGCAGCATCAGCATCAGCATCGGCATCATCGCCATCGTCGTCATCATCGTCATCAGCTTTATCGTCGTGGCCATCATAACATGACTCTCACCAACACAATCATCAGCAGCATCATCAGCATCAGCATCATCAGCATCATGTTCGAGATCTTTATCAGCATCATCATCATCATAATCATCGTCGCCGTCGTTATCATCATTACCATTATAATCATCATCATCATCATCATCATCATCATCATCAACATCATCATCATAAGCAGCCTCATCACCATCATCATCAGCAGCAACAGCATTGTCATCATCATAATCATCATCATCACCAGCATCATCGTCATCCGCATCCGCATATCTTCATCAGCAGCAATAACATCATCAGCATCATCAGCATCATCATCGTTGCCATCATTAGCAGCATCATCATCGTTACCATCATCATCACCACCAGCAGCATCATCATCAGCAGCAGCATCCCCACGTTCAATCATCAACCACCAACCATCATCAACAACAACATCACCATCAACATCAACAACAACATCAGCATCATCCGCCCCCACATTGTTCGCACATTGTTTCGCGTAGTCCCTTCCTCCTCATCCTCACCGTCACAACCACCACCACCTCTATCAGCACCACTGCCATCATAAGCATGTTCATCACGATCACCATCACCATCACCATCACCACCATCGTCATTTCTCCTTCTCAATGCTGCAATACTGCCTGCTCTTGCTCAAGATTACTATTATCCTCTTGCCTCGTCCTCTCCCTTTCCCTTGTCCTCTTCCTCCGACGACTATCGCCACAGCCCGTCCGGGCGGCTCAATCGTTGTGGGAGCGACCCGAGGGCCCCGAGAGCGTCTCTAGAGGGCCCGAGGCGTGTTCTGAATTGCACCCATGGGGGCCCTGAAAATGCTCCCCAAGATGGCCCGCATGTTTCCCCAATCAATGCTTGCTGGGTTTCCCCGGGTTTTCGCCCTGTGCCCGCCCCGTGCACTGGCTGACATTTTCGGGTATCCGCCCGTGCCCGCCAATGAACATCTCGCGCCCGCTTCACACGCTGGCTCGCGTGTCAAGGGCTGCACGCATAGCTTGCACCACATACATATTGCACCAAATTGCTTTCAACCCTTGCATTGATATAGCGTGAACCGCATAAAATGCACCCCGTTGCTTGCACGACATAGCTTGTACTACATAGACTGCACCACATCGAGTGCGTATCGAGAGTGCAAGAACCCAGTGTTTGGGGTCCACGCTAGCAAGCATGTTCTGTACGTTGTCCATTCCACATAATTTGGCTCTAGGTGGCTCCAAAAAAGGCTCCACAGGCCTCCGAGGTGACTCGAAAGTTCCCGGCTGGCCTCCAAGATGGCCGCGGCTCCAAGACAGCCAAAGACCGCCCCAAGACGGCCTCAAAATCACCCCAGACAGCCTCAAGGCTCCCCAGGCGGTCCCAAGACCTCCTGAAAGGCCCCAATATCCCCCGAAGGACTCCAAGATGGCTCCAAGATCACATCAAAAGGGCCCCAAGACGGCAGCCCCGAAAGCCTCAAGACAGCACCAAAACTGCCCTAGGACGGGCCAGGTGTTCGGCCACTCGAGCGCGGAGGCCATACTCACGAGCCTGCTGGTTGGGAGACTTACGCGATTCTGTCTCCCTTCAAGGCCCGCCGTAACTCCCCCTTCTCTGAACCCAGCAAAGCTGGAAGCAATTTCCTGTGTAACGTTTTCGTTGATCCTTCCAGACCCTCAGCCCACCACTCCCTACCCCGCAGTGAGGTGGCGAATATGCGCGGCAGAGCAGTGGGAATATCGATGCAACTTGATTCCATTCCGCTCGTGTGCAAGAGAGTGGTGATTCACGATGGCGGAGCAGTTGAGCTTGAGTGAACACTCGCGCGTGACTAGTGCAAAGTCGAACGCACATGGGCAAGTCGGAGCGTCAGCCACTTCTGTCCCTACGACGCACAAACATCAATAATGATGCCACCCTGACGTTCTTCAGAAATGCTGCGGGCCCAGTGACTGGATGACTTTAACATTCCTGCATAATCGAACGCCTGCCAAATCCCCATATGTGAAAGTATTGGGGTAGCTCCCTCGCGATAGCCTTACCGATGACGTGCGAGGTCCGCTTGACAAAGACCTCGTTCTCTCACGGATGGCTCTGACATTATCTGAAGTACTTCGACATATCTGCATGACGTCCTGGTTGATGGGTCAGCGTTGAACAAGACCACGCCCATACTCGAATTCGAAAAACATCGAAGGCGACCAGAGCAGAAGCAAGAGTGACAGTCCCCTGGGTGGGACGCGTGTCTCCGGTGCGCCCGCCCTCGGCCGCTGATGATCAGCAGCAGAGGCGGTCGTCAGAGGAGACTTGGCGCCACAGAAGGGCACGGGCTGCGCTTGACGCCAAATCCAGCGAGGCTGGGTCGACCGATTTGGTTGTAAACGTGAAAAGCTAGGACCTACGCGCATCACGGTGCGCAACAACAAGCTGTCGAACCGAACGGGATGCACGTACACGTCCGGGCTCGCGGAAAAGGCGAAATGGGAATGCAAAACGGGTGGAGAAGACGAGCGCACACAACTCGACAAGAGAGAACGCAGGACACGTGCACAGAACAGAAAGCTGCAAGCTTGGTACCTTGAGCCCGAGATTCGAGCGCAGGCGAACTACCGAAGACGATAAGTCACAGGAGGAGGAGGAGGAGGAGGAGGAGAGGGTAACGGCAGGAGCCGCAAGAGCAGCGGCAGCAGGTGGGCTGCGTGGTGGAGCCGCGGCAGAGGGGGGGGGCGGGTGGGGAGAGAGGGGGGGAAACGAAGGATTCTGGAATTCTGGGTTACTAGGTTAGCCTCACGCGCGTCCGCGGAGGTACACGGTCTGGGAAAAGACGACGATGAAGACGAAGAACGGCGACGACGACCACGACGACGACGACGATGACGAAGAAGACGAAGATGAAGACGACGACGAAGACCACGACGACGAAGGCCACCGACGACGACGACGAAGACGCACGACGACGGCGGGGATGACTAACGACACGACGACGGCGACGGAAAGGAAATTCAGAAATGCGAACGACGACGATGACGACGCCACGGAGACGCATGCGACATGGAGGCGACGGCTGGACGGCCGCCTTGGGGCCACAGGACCGCTCAGAAAGGCTGGTCCCCGTCGTCGGCGCCAGACATGCTGGCGGAGAGTGACACCAAAGAAGAGGAGGAGCAGGAGGTATACGTAGAGGAGGAAAGGCGGAGCGAGGGGGGGATGGGCGGCAGGGAGAGCGGAAGGAGCAGCGGCTGGCAGGGGCGAAGAGAACGAGACCCGGGAGGGGCAGGGCAAGCAGAGTAGGAGCAGCAGTGGTCGGGGGGGGAACGAGGAGGGGCAGCAGGCAGGAGCAGGACGAGAAGCAGCATCAGGAGAAAGAGGGCGGAGAGAGGATTATGGGGAGGATCAGCAGCGGGAGCAGCAGCAGGCGGGGGGAAAGAGGGCGAGGACGAGGAGGCAGAGCAGGAGGAGGATGAGGAGGTTCAACTCTCAACGAGGAGACGGCGACGATGTTCAGCAGCGGCAGGACGAGCAGGAGGCTGAGAGCGACCGCCATGCGAGGAGAAGCGGACGCGGCAGCAGTCATGGCTCTGAGGACGGCATCGTAGCACTTCTCGCCGGGGCTCGCCGTGTGGCAGCCTCGTGGGTCCGGGGAGCAACATCGCAGAGGAGGAAAAGGGGATGGAGAGGGAATCAGGACGGCGAGATAAGGCGGGCGAGGAGAAACCGGAGAAGATGCAGAACGGTGGGGGGAGGACGAGGAGGAGGGTGAGGAGAACGAGGAGGGGGGGGGGCGAGGAAGCGGAGAACGCGGGGGAGGACGAGGGGAAGGAGGAGGAGGAGGAGTGCTATGAGGAGAACGAGGAGCAAGAGGAAGAGCAGGACGAGAAGGTGGAGGAGGAGAAAGAAGAGAGAGAGGGGGGCGAAGGAAGAGAACGACGTGCGTTTTCGCTCTGCCACGCAGGGGGGGACAGGGGGTATGGACTCTTCCCTCTTTACAACGAGGAGGAGGAGGAACGATAGGAATTAAGACTGCACAAACATCAACTTTCGGAGGTCCGCGCGGATTTTTTGGATCGGCGCTGGGACTGGCGCGCGGAGCACGCCAGGGGCGGCGCCGCAGGCGCCGCTAGGGGGGGGAGGCGGCAAAGGTCCGAGAGATCCGCGCGGAGAGTCGAAAGTGTATGGTTATGCCCTTATTTTCTTCCCATGCGTCTTCGAGAGAGGGGGGGGGGAGACCACGCCGCACGGACTCGGGCACGCTGAGGCTGAAGTTGGGGCGAGCATGATGTCATGATAATTCTGGCTCAGGATACGTTCCAGGATTCCCAGAGTATCTAGCAGCTCTAGTTTTGCAGCCCGTGTGGAACATGAGGAAATACGGGGAATCCTGAAAACCTTGGAAATCTTGACCTGCTGATCGTATCATTATCATGGCCAATTGATCGTCAGGGAAGGGGTGTAAGCGTCGTGGCGCGAGGCGCCTTCCTGCGCGAGGCGCTCGCTGCCGCCCGCGGCCGCGGACTGCGCGCTCTCGGCTAGGAGCCTGCCTAGCCCCAACCTCTGCTGGGGCTCGGAGCTGCCAGAGGCTTCCGCCGAGGCGGCAGGGTAGGAATGCCCCCCCTCCTCCTCCTCCTCCTCCTCCTCCTTCTCCTCCTCCTCCTCCTCCTCTTCCTCCTCCTCCTCCACCCACCCACCCCCTCCTCCATTCCTTCCCCTGATAGATAACTCCTCCCTGCCGCACCCCGAAGCCAGTTTTTTGGGCGGGTCGGGCGTTTCGCCTGAGACTTTTTCACCACTTGTGAACCTGGAGCTTAAAAAGTGGCAACAGCTTCACAAATGGAGGGCGGGTCGTTTTCAAAATGTGGTTCTCGCTTTAGCGCCGCCCACATCCGCTTGAAAAGATTACAAGAGTTCACGGATTGAGGGCGGATCGATTTCAAACTGTGGCTCCCGCCTTAGCGCCGCGCACATTCGCTTTACAACTTTGCAAGAATTTCACGGGTTGAGGGCGGATCGTCTTCAAAATGTGGCTCTCGCTTTAGCGCCGCGCACATTCGTTCTAAAAACTTTGCAAGAGTTTTACCGACAGCGGGTCGTTTTCAAAATGTGGCTCTCGCTTTAGCGCCGCGCACATTCGATTCAAAAAATGTTGCAAGAGTTTCACGGATTCAGGGCGGGTCGTTGTCAAGATGTAGCTCTCGCCTTAGCGCCGAACACATTCGTTTTTTAATATTTGCAAGAGCTTCACGGATTGAGGGCGGGTCGTTTTCAACATGTGGCTCTCGCCGTAGCGCCGCGCACATTCGATCTCAAAATCTGCAAGAGCTTGCCGGGCTGAGGGCGGTTCCTTTTCAAAATGTGGCTCTCGCCTTTAGCACCGCGTACATTCGATTAAACATTTGCAAGAGTTCCACGGATTTCCATGGTCAACGTACCAGAATTAGCGTCTTGAAAGGGTTCGTGACTATACGGATGCAACAGTTATGTTGGTCCGCGGCGTTAAAATCCAAGAAATGGCGCTCTGGCACGATTCCGGATCGTCAAGATGCACCTGTCAGGTTGATACGTGGCGTTGAAATCCCGAGAACAATGTTTCGGCATGCTTCAGGATCTTCAGACGGATGCGCTCCAAAGAGGCAGTCCCCTCAATGGACGTGAACAGTTGTGGGGACCTATGAAGAGGAAGGAAGCTTGGAGGGAGGGTTACTTCCAACATCGTTGATGCTTCTTGGACTAGCATTCGCCTTCTTATTAGTCTCAGTACGTTTCTTCTTATTATTCGCATTACTATGTTTATGATTAGTGATACTAGTGGTATTACTATTTGTATTGTCAGTATGATTCCTCCTCCTCCGCCTCTTCCTCCTCCTCATCCTCCTCCTCCCCTTCCTCCTCCTCTTCCTCCTCCTCCTCCACGTCCTCCTCCTCCTCCTCCTACAACAACTCCTCGTCCTCCTCCTCACCCCCCCTCCTCGTCCTCCTCCTCCTCATCCTCCTCCTCCTCCTCTTCCTCCTCCTCCTCATCATCATCATCATCCTCCTCATCCTCCTCCCCGTCTCCCTCCTCCTCCTCCTCCTCCTCCTCCTCCTCCTCCTCCTCCTCCTCCCACCACACCTCCTCCTCCTCCTCCTCCTCCTCCTCCTCCTCCTCCTCCTCCTCCTCCTCCTCCTCCTCTCCTCCTCCTCCTCCTCCTCCTCCTCCCCCACACCCTCCTCCTCCACCTCCTCCTCCTCCTCCTCCCCTCCTCCTCCTTCTCCTCCTCCTCCGTCATCAGCATCCACCACCACCACCTCCTCCTCCTCCTCCTCTCTCTCCTCCTCCCTCGTCCTCTTCCTCCTCCTTCTTCTCTTCCTCTTCCTCGTCCACATCCTCCGCCTCTCTCCCTCCTCCTCCTCCTCCTCCTCCTCCTCCTCCTCCTCATCATCATCATCATCATCATCATCATTATCATCATCGTCATCACCACCACCATCATCAGCATCATCATCGGCATCATCAGCATTATCGTCATCAGCAGCAGCATCAGCATCAGCATCATCATCAGCAGCATCAGCATCTTACCAGCAGCAACAACATCATCAGCATCAATCGTCATCATCGTCATCATCAGCAGAATTATCAGCATCATCAGCATCATCATCAGCAGCATCATCACCATCATCAACATCATCAACAACATCAGAATCGTCAACAGCATCATCGGCATCATCAGCATCATCGTCATCATCATCAGCAGCATCGTCATCATCATCATCATCATCATCATCATCATCATCAGCAGCAGCATCATCATCATCATATTCAGCAACAGCATCGTCATCACCAGTAGCATCATCAGCAGCATCATCATACGTATCTTCATAGTCTTGTTTCCTTTACCATCATCATCATCATCATCATCATCATCATCATCATCATCAGCAGCAGCATCATCATCATCATCATCATCATCATCATCAGCATCATCATCATCATCACCATCATCATCATAATCATCATCATCATCATCACCATCATCATCATCATCATCATCATCAGCATCATCAGCATCATCATCATCATCATCATCATCATCATCATCATCGTCGTCGTCGTCGTCGTCGTCGTCATTATCATCATCATCATCATCATCATCATTAGCAGCGTCACCACCACCACCACCATCATCAGCATCATCAATATCAGAAGCAGGATCACCAACATGAGCATCACAAGCATCAACATCATCATCATCATCATCATCATCATCATCAGCATCGTCATCCTCAGCATCATCATCGCCGTCCTCATCATTATCGGCGTCATCATCGTAATCAGCATCATCAGCATCGTCATCATCATCATCATCATCATCATCATCAGCATCAGCATGATCTTCACCATCAGCATCAGCATCGTCATCATCAGCATGATCAGGATCATCCGGACCATCAGCATAATCAGCATCAGCAGTATCATCAGAAGCATCGTGGTCAGCATCATCACCATCATCACAATCACCAGTATCCTCATTATCATCATGAGTAGCATCATCATCATCATAATCATCGTCATCATCGTCATGAGTCTCATCATCATCGTCATCATCGTCATCATCATCAGAGGCAGCAGCATCATCAACATCATCGTCATCACCATTAGCATCAGCATCATCATCAGCAGCATCAGTATCAACAACATCGTCAACCACATATTCGTCATCATCAGCATCATCACCAACATCAGCTCCATCATCATCATCATCATCAGCAGCAGCAGCGTCAGCATCATCAGCATCATCAGCCGCATCATCATCATCATCATCATCATCAGAATCATCAGTAGCATCATCAGCACCCTGAACAGCATCATCATGAGCAGCAGCAGCAAACTCATTATCACCATCAGAATCAGCATGACCATCAGCATCAGCATCTTCATCATCGTCAAAACTATCAGCAGCATCATCGGCATCAGCATCATCATCAGCAGCATCAGCATCAGCATGAGCATCATCATCAACAACATCAGCATCATCCTCAGCAGCATCAGCACCACCATCATCATCAACAACCTCGTCATCACCACCACCATCACCATCACCATCATGAGCATCATGATCGTCATCATCATCATCAGCATCACCACCATCATCATCATCATCATCGGCATCATCATCATCAGCAGCATCCCCCTCTCCCGCCCTCCTTCCCTCTCCTCCTCGTACCACGTTTTGCCTCCTGGTCCTCCCCTTCGCTCCTCGTTCGCCTCCTCCGGCTACAGATTGCTCGGCGGGCGGGAGGGCAAACACAAACAAACAAGAGATGACCTTCCAGAAAGAGAAGGGAGAGGCCGAGGAGGAGAAGGAGAAGGAGGAGGAGGAGAAGGACAACGACGAGGACGAGGAGGGGGGAGGGGAAGGAGCAGTAGGGAAAGGGAGACGAGGAGGAGCAGGAGGGAGGAGGAGGAGGAGGAGGAGGACGAGGAGCAGGAAGAGGGAGGAGGAGGACGAGGAAGAGCAGAAGGAGGGAGGAAAGCAAGAGTCAAAGAAATGGTGTCATGGGGAGGAGGGCCCGCAGCAGCAGCAGCAGCAGCAGCAGCAGCAGCGTGAGGGCGAGAAGGAGGAGCAGGAAGAGCTGGCAAAGGGGGGGCAACAGCCTGGCAGTGCGAAACCGCACGTCCTGAAGTAGTCGGCGCAGCAGTTGTCGTACCTTGCGCGGGCGAGAGCGCCCCTGGGCCTCCGCGAGCTGCATGGAGAAAAAGGGGAGGGCCAAGGAGGATGGGGGAAAAGGAGCGAAGTCAGAGGGATAAGGAGGAAGGAGGCCTGTGCCACTCCATGGGTACCGACCACGCCAGCCGACGAGGCTGCGGAGGAGGAAGAAGAACTGAAGGAATCCGAATCCGCCGATACTGTCGGCGTGTGTGAGGGACTTGTCCATTCGAGTCGTCCTCTTCGTCATTCGTTAGTCGTCGTTTCTGGCGGCTCGTTTCCCTGCGGCCCCAATTTCCCTGAGCCCGTCGCCGTTCCCCCGCCTTTCTTGGGCCCTCCTCCCCAAGCGCGCCAGCCAAAGCGAAATTGACGAACATCGAAATTCAATCGAAAAGAACTCCCCTCCCTTTGATCCCTCCCCCGTCGGGGGGGGGGCCGGGGGGGTCCCTGGAGGGTTCCCGCGGGGGCTCCCTGCATGGGGGGATTTCGTGGGGGGTTCTGGAGGGGGTCGCCACCCAAATACGTCTCTCTCCTGGGGGGGTCACGGGTCCCAACAAAGCTCTAGGACTGGCCAAGAGTGCCCGAAGAGGCCCCCAAGACGGCCCCAAAGGGCCCCGCATCGCCGAACGAGCTGTCCAAGACGCCTTAACGGCCTCCTGAAGGCCCATGAGGCCTGCAAAACGCCCCGAGAGGCCTCCAGGAGCACCCCCAAAAAGTCCCAAAAGGCAGAATTCATTCATTGCCCTGGGATGTCTGAAAGATTTTTGTGTTTTCGCCTCTTCGGTTTCCCGACACTCCAAGACGGCCCAATAGGCCTCCAAGATCGCACCAAGACGGCCCAAAGTCCTCCAAGAGGCTCCCAACATGGCCCAAAAAGGCCCGATGACGATCCGGGACGCCTCCAAGACAGGCCACAAGGCACCCGAGACGGCTCCAAAGGGTGCCCAAACGGGAGGCGTGAACGCACATCTCGAGCCCTCGACCCCGAGAAGCTCTCAGGAGGACCCAAGGCGCCTCTTAGACGCCCCCAAAAAGCCTCCAAAAAACCCATGGAGACCCCCAAGAGGCTCATGCCCCCCAAGAGTCTCCCAAAACGCCTTGAAATGCCCGCACGAGGCTCTCGAGAACGCTCCGAAGAGACACCTACGCATCCCCTCTTCCCCCCGCTCCTTACATTCCTCCTCACAGTCCTCCTCCTCCTCCTCCTCCTCCTCCTCCTCCTCCTCCTCCTCCTCTTCATACTCCTCCTCCTCCTCCTCCTCCTCCTCTTCATCTGCTCCTTCTTATTATTATTATTCCTCCTCCTCCTCCTCTTCTTACTCCTCCTCCTCCTCCTCCTCCTCCTCCTCCTCCTCCTCCTGGTCCTCCTCCTCCTAATTATAATCGTCATCATGTGCATCCTCCTCCTGAACATCAGCATCACCATCATCATCACCATCATCAGCAGCATCATCATCATCAACAACATCATCATCATCAGCATCATCATCAGCATCATCAGCAGCAGAACCACCACCATCATCAGCATCATCATCGTCAGCATCAGCATCAGCATCAACGCCAGCATCACCATCATCATCTGCATCCTCATCCTCATCCTCATCCCCCCCTCCTCGTCGTCCTCCTCCTCCTCCTATGAAAAAACACCGCCAGTCAGGTTTTTGAAGGCTCCCTGCACCGTAGACCCAAGAGCTCTGTGAACCCAAATGTGATGGTCGAGCGGGCGACGGCAAGCAGCGGCAGGGGACAAGGTAAAAGAGGGATGACGGATGGATGGTGCATTTGAACACCCGTCCTCGACCATCTGGGTCCATCGTACGGAGTTGGCCAGAAGGAGTCGAATATGTAGATAGAAAGCCTCCTGCGATGCTCACCCTGTCGGTGACATTCTGGGCATCACGTGCCATACGCTCATCTGCACGCCGCCCTGATGGCATCCGTGACTGAGGCTGCTTCAACAGAACCCCTCTCCGTCTCAAGCTTCATCAAAGCGTCCGCCAACTGGACTCACGTGACGCGCCACTCCAAGTTAACTCCACCCTGGGGAGCATCTGTCGTAGGGCAAGAATAACCACTCGGCATCGACGATATGCAATCTGATCGGCGTCCACGAGGAAGAGGGTCGCTAAGCTATATGCGTCACTGTACCATTTGGCGGGGATTCGGTCGCCATGTCGCCAATCAGGTCGCCAATCGGCTGATGTACCTTGTCCATCTCGTAGTGTGGGGCTCGGACCCACTCCAATGCATCAGCTCCTTCACACTCTCTCTCTCTCTCACACACACGAAGCCGAGCTGAGACTTCACCTTCTCGCCGAGCGGGCCAAGGGCCAGGTCGCCACTGTCGTCGAGGCTGCTGCGCGCAAACACGACAGCACGTAGGTATCCATCTCGTTAAAGCGCGTCACTTCGGAAGTTGAAGCTCACGTCGAGGTATGTCGCCAGCTTGTTCATATCCAGTAGGAGCTGCACGGCGGCCTCTATGTTTTGCTGCGCCGGCCGGCTGTAGCCGAACAAGATGTCCGCGCGTAGCTGCCTCGCAAGCCACCCGAAAGAACCGATCACCGGCGCCGCCAAACTCCTATCTGCATCCGCAGCCAACGCCTTCATCTGCTTAGACTGGGCCTTGGACATGGTCGACATCTCCATCGCGCCCACGAAGTTGACCACGCTGATCTCGATCGAGAAATTCGACGCCTGCTCGACGCCCTGGCCGCTACATCGGAACGGTGGCTTCTCGCCCAAAAATAAAATTAACACAGTGCGACCCTACCTAGGAGTTGCAGCATTTAGGACAGCAACATCTACATCTACACCGACAGCTGCATTTACATCTACACCTGCATCTACATCTACATCAACATCAACAGCGAGACTCACAGCTACATCTACATCTACACCTATATCTACACCTACATCTACATCTACATCTACATATACACCTACATATACACCTACATCCACATCTACACCTACACCTACAGCTACATCTACATCTACACTTTCGCGTTGGTTTTGCTTTTGCTGTACATTGCATTTGCGGTTGCTTTTGCCTTTGATGTTGCCTTTGCCTTTACTTTGTTATGCGTTATCCTGGGTTATGCTATGATATGCTATACTATGCTATGCTATGCTGCGCTATGTTATGCTATGGCATGATGTGCTTTGCTATGCTGCGCTATGCTGCGTTATGCTGCGCTATGCTATGCTATGCTATGCTAGGGTACGCTCGGCTGCGCTATGTTATGCTACGCTGTGCTATGCTGTGCTATGCTGCGCTACGCTCTGCTACGCTATGCTATGCTGCGCTATGCTATGCTATGCTATGTTATGCTGCGCGATGCTATGCTATGATGGGCGATGCTATGATGTGCTACGCTGCGCTATGTTATGATACGATATGTTATGCTATACTGCGCTACGCTATGTTATGCTATGATATGCTATACTATGCTATGATGTGCTATGCTATGCTATGCTGCGCTGTGCTATGCTAAACAATGCTATGATCGGAGGTGAGGGGATAAGATCGAAGTGGAACGGAGAGCCCCCCTACAGGGAAATCGATTTCGGTTTCGTGTTCGTGCGTGCCGTGCGGGCGAGGCGAAGCCGCGTGGGCGGGCGAGAGAGAGAAAGTCTCCTGTGGCTGAGGCGCGGCCGGACCAAATGATTCCCTTCCGGGCGGCCGGGGCCCCGCGGTGTCCCGCCGGTGTCCCGCGGTGTCCTCTTGTGGCTGAGGCGCGGCCGGACCAAATGATTCCCTTCCGGGCTGCCGGGGCCCCGCGGTGTCCCGCCGGTGTCCCGCGGTGTCCCGCGGTGTCCCGCGGTGTCCCGCGGTGTCCCGCGGTGTCCCGCCGGTGTCCCGCGGTGTCCCACGAGGATGAAGATGATAAGATGATGATGATGATGATGATGATGATGATGATGATGATGATGATGATGATGATGATGATGATGATAGTGTCCCGATGAAGATGATGATGTTGATGATGGTGTCGATGATGATGATAATGTCCCGATGATGAGGATGATGATGCTCATGATGATTATGTTGATGATGATGACGACGATGGTGTCCCGATGATGATGATGATGATGATGATGATGATGATGATTCCGATGATGTTGGTGATGATGATGTTGATGGAAATGGTGTCCCGGCGATAATGATAATGATGATGTTGATGATGATTATGGTGTCCCGATGATGATGCTGATGATGATGGTGATGATGATGGTGATGCTGGTGGTGTCCCGATCATGATAATAATGATAATGACGATGTTGACGATGATGTTGTTCATGATGATGATGGTGCCCCAATGATGATGTTGTTGATGATGCTGATGATGTCGATGATGATGATGCGATGATCATGATGATGATGGTGTCACGAGGATGATGACGATGTTGATGACAATGTTCATGATGAGAACGATGGTGACCATGATGGTGTCCCGATTATGATGATGATTATGATGATGCTGCTGATGATGATGACGATGGTTGTGTCCCGATGATGATGATGTTGATGATGAGATGATGATGGTGGTGATGATGATGTTGTCCCGATGATGATGCTGACAATGATGATGATGTTTATGATGATGATGATGATGACGGTGCCCCCCCATGATGATGACGATGTTGGTGATGATGTTGATGTTGATGATGTTGATGAAGATGATGACGTTGATTGTGAGAGCGATTGTGATATCGATAGTGAGATCGACATTGAGACCGAATGTGAGATCGATTGTGTGATCGATTGTGAGATCGATTGTGAGATCAATTGTGAGATCGATCGAATGAGATAGATCGAATGAGATCGATTGTGAGATCGATCGGGTGAGATCGATCGAGCGAGACCGATAGTGAGATCGATACTGAGATCGATAGTGAGACCGATCGAATGAGACGTTGGTCCCCCCCGAACCTCCTTATCACCCGAAGGGTGGTCGTATAGGTATGCTATGCTACGCTATGCTGCGCTATGATATGCTATGCTATGTTATGAAATGCTGAGCTATGATATGCTATAATATGCTATGATGTACTAGTGCTGCGCTGCGCTATACTGCGCTGCGCTATGCTGCGCTGCGCTAAGCTAAGCTAAGGTAAGCTAAGCTATGCTAAGCTAAGCTAAGCTAAGTAAGAAAGGTTAAGTTAGACTAGGCTAAGCTAGGCTAAAGCTAAGCTAAGCTAAGCTAAGCTAAGCTAAGCTAAGCTAAGCTAAGCTAAGCTAAGCTAAGCTAAGCTAAGCTAAGCTAAGCTAGCAGAGCCTAGGTAGGGAAATAGACGCCTCAGCTCGTCCATCGCGGTCTCCGACAATCCGCCGCTCGGGCTGCTGGCGGCGAACAAGTCGCCCGACGAGCTCCCCGCGCGAGTTGCCGCGCAGCGTCCTCCGCAGCTTGTTCCACCACTTCCCCCCAGCGCCCTTCGCGCCGCCGGTCGCGCAGCGGCACGCGGGCGCCGAACCAGCGGGGACCCTGGGCGGTAGCGGCGATGGCGGACGCAGCACGAGCATCCGATCATCATCATCTCTTTGCAGATATGCCATCGTCGCGTCGAGCTTGAACTGCGGCCGACGCTTCCTTGCCGCGCCGCCGCAGATCCAGCGGAACAGCAGGAGCGCCGACGCGGGGGAGTCGGGGCAGACGTGGACCGACTCGGAGCAGCCGACCGCCACTAGCCGAGACTTCGCCATCATGGGCAACTTCGGGGCGCACTCGTTCCTGTCGGTTTGGACCCATCCCGTCCCAAGAGCTCCTCCGCCGCGTCGCTCGCGACCGCGGTCACTGCCCAGAAGTTGAGCCAGTTCCCCCACCCCATCGCCACGCTCGCGTCGACCGCGGACCTCTCCGCCTAGGCGCGGGTCAGCGAGCACGATATCCTTCCCCGGGGACTTCTCGACCAGCCATGCGCGTCTGATCCAGGCGCGGTAGGACGCATCCGAGTCACACTCGACGAAGCGGGCCCCAGCCACGGGGCTGCTTCGATCCCGCAGCCGCCGCGGCGGCGGCCTCTCGGGCCCGCGGGCTGGGAATCCAGGCGGGAAATCGCCTCTCTCAGGTCGGAAGTGGGGAGTGGTAGGTTCGGGTAGGTCGTTCGCGTCGGGCTCGATCAAATCACTACCATCGTCAGCATCATCATCATCATCATCATCATCATCATCATCATCATCATCATCATCATCATCATCATCATAGTCACCATCATCATCATCATCATCATCATCATCATCATCATCATCATCATCATCATCATCATCATCATCTTCATCATCATCATCATCGTCATCATCGTCATCATCATCAGCATCATCAGCATCATCATAGTCACCATCATCATCAGCATGATCCGAATCATCAGAATCAGCATCAGCATCAGCACCACCATCACCATCACCATCATCATCATCATCAAAATCATCATCATCAGCATCATCAACATCAACATCAGCATCATCAGAACCCACATCATCACCACCACCATCATAATCACCAGCTACATCATCATCAGCAGCAGCATCGTCATCATTACCATCGTCATCATCATCATAATCGTCCGCATCGTGATTATCGTCAGCATCATAAGTATCATCACCATCATCATCACCATCACCATCACCAGCACCAGCATCATCAACAGCAACATCATCATCATCAGCATCAACATCACCAGGCACAGGCACAGGCACAGGCACTTCCTGACCCCTGCGGCGCGAGGTACTCGCCGTGCCGTACTCCGAGCGCCCCCGAGCCATGACCTCCAGGGGCAGAGCTCATGGGTTCAGGCCTTGCGGGGCCAAGTCCCCCTCGCGGGGTCCCGGCGGCCGACGGCGCCGCCGATGTTCCGCCCGGTGGCTGCGCGTCCTCGGGGATCACTGGAACTCCTTCCCCCGTGCCCTCGCGTCGCACGTCGAGGAATCTGCGAGGTCCTCGTGGTAGAGCTGCGCCTCACTGATCGGCTGGCATCGGGCCCCAAGTGATCAGCTCGTCCTCCGACGCGAATAGCAGCTGCTCAGGTCTCGCCAGGGGCGCGCAGCCACCATGCCATAATCATCTCGCGCGCGGAGTGCCCGGCACAGCATCCGGGCGAAGCGCGGCGCCGACCCCGTCGGCCACTCTGTCGAGGTCGCAGGAGTCGTGGCCGATTACGCGCGGGCGTCTCCGAACCGGCTGCGGAAAAAGGGCTGGCGACTCGCCAGGCCTCGCGCTCGCGCGCCCGAAGTAGATGGAGGCGCCGACCTGGAAATGTCCTCTCACGTCGATATCGCTGGCTTCACTCCCCTCGCGCGGTTGTCGTTGTCCATTCTCACGAAGGCTACCTTGGTCGCCTCACGCCACGGTAGACTGGGCCCCACGGCGGGCCCCGGGCCCAGGGCGCCTCCCGAACGTCCAGTTTCTCCGCATCGCCGCCCCGAAAGACCGATCCAGGCACGCGCAGGCCGCGCGCCCCGAGCACCCAGTTCGCCAGGGCGTAGCCCTGGTGGATCACCGTCTCGTTGCGAACCTAGTTCGCGACACCGCAGAGGGCACGTCCGTCGGTCCTTCTCCCACGTGACCTGGGCACCCCGCACCACGCGGTGGAAGGCCTCCTACCAAATTCCTCCAAGTCGTCCGATCCTGCCCAGTTGCTCGCGGACCCCTCGCGCCGCGGTCCCGATCTCGACGCCGTGCTCGAACATGTGATTCCGGAGCTCCTTCGACAACTCCACGCCGCGGCCCACGAAGATTGACTGCAGCGGCCCTCCCCAGCTGCGCCTAACGGCGAGGGGCGCGCCCAGTGCGACATTAGCCAGCGCTGCCAGGGAACGCGGGATTGGAGTGAGGCGAGGGCCACGTAGGACAGCGAGGGGGCCACAAAGGGCGACAGCGGGGCCACGAAGGGCATGCACATGGGGCCACGACGGGTGCGAACGAACGGGGGCCACGAAGGGCACACATAAATGGGGCCACGAAGGGCAGCGAGGGCGCCACGAAGGGCTGCAACGGGGCCACGAAACAAAGCGAGGGGGCCGAGAAGGGCTGCAACGGGGCAACGACAGGCAGCGAGGGGGCCGCGAGGGGCTGCAACGGGGCCACGAAGGGCAGCGAGGGGGCCACGAAGGGCTGCAACCGGGCCCCGAAACAAAGCTAGGGGGCCACGAAGGGCTGCAACGGGGCCACGAAGGGCAGCGAGGGGGCCACGAAGGGCTGCAACGGGGCCACGAAACAAAGCGAGGGGGCCGAGAAGGGCTGCAACGTGGCAACGACAGGCAGCGAGGGGGCCGCGAGGGGCTGCAACGGGGCCACGAAGGGCAGCGAGGGGGCCACGAAGGGCGACAGCGGGGCCACGAAGGGCATGCACATGGGGCCACGACGGGTGCGAACGAACGGGGGCCACGAAGGGCACACATAAATGGGGCCACGAAGGGCAGCGAGGGCGCCACGAAGGGCTGCAACGGGGCCACGAAACAAAGCGAGGGGGCCGAGAAGGGCTGCAACGGGGCAACGACAGGCAGCGAGGGGGCCGCGAGGGGCTGCAACGGGGCCACGAAGGGCAGCGAGGGGGCCACGAAGGCTGCAAAAACAAAGCGGGGCCACGAAGGGCAGCGAGGGGGCCACGAAGGGCTGCAACGGGGCCACGAAGGGGCAGCGAGGGGGCCACGAAGGGCTGCAACGGGGCCACGAAACAGCGAGGGGGCCACGAAGGGCTGCAACGGGCCACGAAGGGGGCCACGAAGGGCTGCAACGGGGCCACGAAGGGCAGCGAGGGGGCCACGAAGGGCTGCAACGGGGGCACGAAACAAAGCGGGGGGGCCGAGAAGGGCTGCAACGGGGCAACGACAGGCAGCGAGGGGGCCGCGAGGGGCTGCAACGGGGCCACGAAGGGCAGCGAGGGGGCCACGAAGAGCGACAGCGGGGCCACGAAGGGCATGCACATGGGGCCACGACGGGTGCGAACGAACGGGGGCCACGAAGGGCACACATAAATGGGGCCACGAAGGGCAGCGAAGGCGCCACGAAGGGCTGCAACGGGGCCACGAAACAAAGCGAGGGGGCCGAGAAGGGCTGCAACGGGGCAACGACAGGCAGCGAGGGGGCCGCGAGGGGCTGCAACGGGGCCACGAAGGGCTGCGAGGGGGCCACGAAGGGCTGCAACTGGGCCCCGAAACAAAGCTAGGGGGCCACGAAGGGCTGCAACGGGGCCACGAAGGGCAGCGAGGGCGCCACGAAGGGCTGCAACGGGGCCACGAAGGGCAGCGACGGGGCCACGAAGGGCTGCAACGCGGCCACGAAGGGCAGCGAGGGGGCCACGAGGGGCTGCAACGGGGCCACGAAGGGCAACGAGGGGGCCACGAAGGGCTGCAACGGGCCCACGAAGGGCAGCGAGGGGCCACGAAGGGCTACAACCGTGCCACGAAACAAAGCGAGGAGGCCACGAAGGGCTGCAACGGGGCCCCGAAACAAAGCTAGGGGGCCACGAAGGGCTGCAACGGGGCCACCACGAAGGGCAGCGAGGGGGCCACGAGGGGCTGCAAACGGGCCACGAAACAAAGCGAGGGGGCCACGAAGGGCTGCAACGGGGCCACGAAGGGCAGCGACGGGGCCACGAAGGGCTGCAACGGGGCCACGAAGGGCAGCGAGGGGGCCACGAGGGGCTGCAAACGGGGCCACGAAGGGCTGCAACGGGGCCACGAAGGGCTGCAACGGGGCCACGAAGGGCAGCGAGGGGGCCGCGAAGGGCTGCAACGGGGCCACGAAGGGCTGCAACGGGGCCACGAAGGGCCTGCATGGGCCACGAAGGCAGCGGAGGGGGCCGCCGAAGGGCTGCAACGGAGGCCCGAAGGCTGCAACCAGGCGACTAAGGAGCTGCAACGGGGCCACGAAGGGCAGGAGGGGGCCACGAAGGGCTGCAACGGGGCCACGAAACAAAGCGAGGGGCCACGAAGGGCTGCCAACCGCGCGGGCCACGACGGCTGCAACGGGGCCACTAAGGGCTTGCAACGGGGCCACGAAGGGCAGCGAGGGGGCCGTAGAAGGGCGCAACGGGGCCACGAAGGGCTGCAACGGGGCACGAAAGGGCTGCACGGGGCCACGAAGGCAGCGAGGGGGCCGCGAAGGGCTGAAACGGGGCCACGAAGGGCTGCAACCGAGGCCCGCGAAGGGCTGCACGGGTCCACGAAGGGCAGCCGAGGGAGGCCGCGAGACGGGCTGCAAACGGGGCCCCGAAGGGCAGCAGGGTGGCCTCGCGAAGGGGCTGCGAGGGGGCCACGAAGGGCTGCAACGGGGCCACGAAGGGCTGCAACGGGGCCACGAAGGGCTGCAACGGGGCCACGAAGGGCTGCAACGGGGCCGCGAA